TTAAGCACTGATTAAAGATGAAACAATAGATTTTTTTTTTTTTTTTTGTATTAAATGGGTGGGTGAAAGTTTTCAGGATTGTTTGAAACCAGTAATTTCAGTTGTCATTTTGATAGTTTTTTCATGTGGTCTAAATACAATGAGAAATGCAAGGAACGTTTTCAGAATTTCTAGTTTTTACAACTTTCAACCATGGTTTTATGAGATAATTATAAAATTTTCAGATGGTGAAGTTGAAGGTGAGGATGAAGATGACGAAGATGATGATGACGGAGAAGTGGAAGTAACAGGTATATTTAATTATATTCTGCAGTGATCAGTCAAAAGAATGCTTTGACTTTGCTAGGTGGCTGAACTGAAAATATTGCTTTTATCAACTAGCCAAATGTGTGTAGCTGAATGTACATTAACCATCACCTAATGTCAATGAGTGATTCATTGATAATTGGCTCTCTTATCAGAGCTGAAGAGTTCCGACTCCCAAAAATAAACCAGATTGACTTAAAGTATAATAAGGCTTTATCCTAGTAAGTTTTGTATTACTTTTTCCAGGTCATATCAAATGAGTATTTATTATATACGAAGGGGGGGAAAGCCCAGTTGATTAGAAATGAATTTTTAAAAATACATGTAGATTCTAAACACTAAAGTTTTGTGTTAATTTTTCCAGGCCAGGTGGTCTGTGAGTATACTTTTGTTTCAATGTATTGTGCCACTGTACATACTGGGTTCACACTTACAGAATCTTTTGTTTTAGCAAACTTTTCAGACAGGCATGAAAAAAAAAAAAAAAATGGTTTGAATGTTTTAGTTGTTGTCGGTATCGTTTGTTGTGTGAGCCCAGGTAGTTGTTGCTTTGTCTATGGTTTAGTGAGGTAGCTTGCCTGACACACACACACACACATATATATGTATACATAAACTTTTAGGTGATTGGACTGACTGCACAGGTGCTTTTTTAATTTCAGTTCCATTATTTCACACTTTATGTTTAGGATAAGACCTGTGTTTATTAAAAATTTGAAGACCCAAAGCCTTCCTGTATTTAATCTTTGATGCATGCCAAAAATGATTGAATGCTATAGATAACATTATTAATGGTGTCCTTTTTAAAATCTGGTTCAAAATTTGATACTCTATATGATCTTACATGCTTCAGTTCAGATTTTATTTTCTTGATTTAAAGTTGGTCAAAAATACAATATTGTTTTATGTATTTTTTCAGATGAAGATGATGATGATGACGAAGATGAAGAAAATGTAGAAGATGAAGATGATGATGATGATGAAGAAGATGGTGAGGAAGAAGAGGATGAGGAAGGAGTAGAGGACGAGGAAGATGAGGAAGACGACGAGGTTGGTCTGGACTACCTTGAAAAAGAAGATTTGGAAGTGAGTTCGAAATGAACTTGCAGATGATGAAAGTAATACTGGTATAGATAGAATTAGGTTTAAAAAAAAAGAAATTAGGTAGTTGATTTTCAGGTGGGTTTATTCTAAGGAAAGTTGCAATTACCAACTGTTTTTCTTTGAATTTTAATCATACCACAATACATTTATTACAACTCTTGTGACACCAAATGTTTTTTATACCCTTTAGAAATATACACAAAGATTGGAGGCAAAGCATTTTTCAATAACTTTAATATCATTTAAAAGTGACAAATGCCACATTAAGAACAGAAATATAATATCCTTTATAAAAAAGTTTCATATGATTTAAAAGTGACAAATGTCATATTTAGAACAGAAATACAATATTTTTATTTTCAGACACTATGAGTGTCTGTATATATATTCTGATTGGTCTGTCTGTCATTACTGTCACTGTCTGACACATAACTTCCAAACCATATTTTTGTTTATCAAGTAGCTTTGTTTGGTAAAGAGGCAGGTTGTTTTTGAAAATCGGCATTATTGGTTTACACTTACGGTAATTATTATTATTTTTTATTTATTTATTTATTTATTTTTTGCACAATTTTTGTGACGTTTGCCCCATAACTTGAAAACCATATTTTTGTTTGACTTTTAATTTACAAAGTGGCTTTGTTTGGTAAAGAGGCTGCTTGCTTTTGAAAATCAGCATAATCAGTTTATATTTACGGTAATTATTCTGTTTTTTATGTGTGTAATTTTCATTTTTCACACATTAGCATTTTCATTGGCTTTTATATCACATGGAATTGAATCACTTGCTAGTTTTCAGTCCTTGTTACCTGTAGTACATAATGTAAGAAGGTAGGAGTTATGCTATTTTAAAGCATTATGTAACAGAGCATCAAAATTGGCCAAAACATTTGACAGCTTTGCTGCCTTGTTTCCTGTATGGTGTCTGTATATTTGTCAGCTTTGCTCTCTAGTTAAAAATATGCACAAATTCAAATGTTGTTATCCCACTGCCTGTGCTTGGAACAATAGGATATTTGCACTTGTACTATTCTTACATGCTTGTCTCTATCTTTGTATGCTTCATCCTTTTGTTTGAAGCATTAGTCATGGGATAAGACAGTTACAACTTCTTGGCTTCCACTGTATGGAACATGCAAGAGCAAATTATCTCTGCTGTGATTTGATATAGTTATGCTCTTGCATGTTGCATGCAGCGGATAATCTGTGTAGTAACTAGTACTGATGGGTGCAAATACACCATCACCTCATCCTCTCGTTAGAAATGTCATAGCTGGGGTAGCGCTAGCAATTTTTTTCGCTTAGCCCAATCACCACATTTTTGTCAATTTGTTACCAAAATGGTTATAATTTGGCTAAAACATGTCAAATCAAGCCCTTTTTCTTTAGCCAATTGATGTCAGTTTTAGCATTTGGCTAAATTGGCGAGTGTTAGCGCTACCCCAGCATATATTTAACTTCAAAAACCTGCTATGTAATCGAGTCGTTTTTGATATCTTTTCTCATTCTTTGAAATTTTCACTTCAGGATGACAGTGAAGGTGAAGACTTTGCACCAGGGGCAGATGATGATGATGATGAAGTGGAAGTTGAAGAAGATGGTAAGAGTGATTTCTTTATTGATTTATTATCTTTTCTTGGGTTTTGTCTATATTTCTGTGAATTGGCATCTGATTGGAATTGGTGTTGTTGAAATCATATTTATAAAAACCAAATTGTACAATAATTTAATTTTAAATACAAAATTACTTTCAGTCAGTATTTGCCTAATGAAACATAACTAAATAAGAATGAAAATATTTGAATGGTAAAAAAATTAAAAAGGTTGTTAAAGAGACTTTTCATGATTTTGTGGTAGTGAGACAACAAAGAAAATGCTTTGAATAAGATTTGAATACAGATAAATGTTGATTTGACACTGATAAATCCTTTTTAAGACGAAGCACCAAGGGGGACAAAGAGAAAATTGGATGAAGAAGACGAGGAGGAAGAAGAGGAAGACGAGGATGATTAAAGAGAAAACTTTTTAAAAGAATGTTGCATGGTATGATAGGTATCGAGGCACTCTGTGCATGTGGCACACAGTAGCGCAGAAGAGTAGAGGCAGCAGGAAATAAAATCAATTCTGACCTGGACCAGTCTCCAGCGTTTGCAAAATTTAGCTTGCAATCTGCTGTGGTGTTTTTAGTGATATTTCAATCAACAGCAAGAACATTTAAGGGAGGTGACAAATTATAGAACAATCATCGTGTCCTGAATCAGATTGAAAGACAGAAGTATTTGTACATTGTAGCATAGTCTTCGCATTGTTACTGTCATTCATCTGTCATTGTTACTGACATTAGTGTCAATATCTTCAACAAAACAGACAGGTAATATTGTTGAATTGTGTAAAGATGCCTATATTCTTACACAGAAGTGTTTAGGTCTCCATCTCCTGTCAGAATGTTTTGACTTGTCTTGATATTTGTATAATTTTGTAGATGTTTTCTCAGACCTGAGAAAGTGAACTAGCATTTTTGTACAGTATATATAATATTGCCCTAGGAACAGACAAACCTTTTCTCACTCATTTTTTAATTCAGCCCAGCGTCAAACGATTATTGTTATAGCTGATGTAACCTTTCAATTCATTATATTTTACAATCTGTTACATTTAAGTTGTACAGATTTGGTCATTCCAATGTACTTTTGTCTGTTCTTTGTTGCAATAAATTTTTTATAAACATGAATTGAACTTTGCTATTATGTCTTGTAAATACGATAAAAAGCAATTAAGTTTTGTAGGTTTGTGTATTGAGGTTTTATGTTTATTTCGAGCTTTACAACAGTCAAAACCTTGCAAGTGAAAAGAATGCAAAATAAAGCAAAGAAAATTTTATTTTACTTGGTACACTGCAATTGGGTTACTTTTCATCTTTTGCATTGGACAAAAAAATTGCAAATTTTGATGTAATCTTTAAATACCTGACACAGCAAGATTGACAAAACCTGAATGCCACCACTACTATGTCAGATTTGCTAAATTACCTTCCTCAAAGTTTCTAAATTGAATCCGTGTGTGAAAACGGACTACCCCCTTGTTCCTTTATTTTACTAAGTAGGCCATGCTATCACCTACAAACTACACCTGGTGATACATTTGAGCAAGTTGGGTTTGACATTTAAATAGTGAATGGCTGTGAACAACCCCTTGATGGTTTTCTTAGTTATAGAGGAAAAAACTCAGTTTGACATAATTATGAGATGTAAATAACCTGACAATTTCTGAATGAAAGAACTACTTGCATGTTGACTAGTAATAAGTCAAGGATGAACAGTGATTTTTACCCTAATATC